GTCAAAACACCAGGAATGAGAGAGATGGCTGTAGACTAAATAGGAAAACAACCTGGAAGATTATGGCAAATTCTTTTCTATTGTTCCCAAGAAAATGACATAGACAAGTTCATGTAATCACAGGAATCAAGCCTGACCTGAGATATCTTTCTTCTTTTTAACTTCTTATTTCTTACAGATTTTACCCATGTGTTATAAGGTTAAATTCAAATCAATAGGTTTGATCTTTAAAGGCCAACTCAAATGGCCTTTAAAAAAAATCAAACTGGGCTGAGTATTGTTGCTATTTGGATGATAGATCACCCAGGAAATCCTAGGGCTATGAACTACATTGGAAAGTTTTGTAAAAATCCTGGGGGGAAAAGCAATGCTCAACTACTTGCATGTTGTGGCTAATAAACTACATGGATAGTAGGCATTGAGTTTAAGCAGGGGTCCGAATTGTTTCACAAACAACTTCCCAACTTGCCACATAAACTGATCCAGGAACTAGGACTGACTTCTTGGACCTTTCTGATCTGCTGCTGCTAAATGGACAGCTTTTCTGAAATAGCATCCTTGGAAGTGTTTGCTACCTTCCTTGCTGCTTTTGTAATTATTTTAGAGAAAATTCTGGATGACATATTCAAAGAAGGCGTTAATATTGCTTTTGCCTGCTTCTCTATACAGTATATCATTATTTCATTTTGCTAGTTGTCATTACTCTACATTTCTTTAATAAATATTAGAAATAACATAACTAAATCCAGTTAGTTATGTTAAACATTCAGGACAACTAAGGAGATTTCTAGCCAGACAGTAGGCATACATTTCTGGATAATTAGGACAGTTAACTGATCGTGAAGAAAAGTATAGCGTTTCAAATACTTTTTTAAAAATCCATCTTGTATCTGCCTTTGAAAAACAATAGTTTTGCGTATCCGTTCTACATAAATACATCTTTCCTATCTTTTTATGTTAAGGAAGTGTCATAAATTACAACCAAAATGACATTCAGAATAAATTGTTTAGGGTTAATTAGAAAAAATATGGTAAGAGTGCAGTTCTAACTCCTTGCTTCTGATGACTAGAGAGAGGATCTAGGTAGGATTTAGCTGTTTTCAGGGTAGAAATAAGGAGCTCCCTGTACTGGAGGGCCCTCTTGTGCCTACGTGCTTGAAATACACAGAAGAAGGAATGTTATGGGTAATCAATGCAACTGAAGGGAGTTTGGCTGTCCTCTTCCCCCTCCTGCTTACTGTGACCGAATGTGACTCAGCTAAGATACTGAATCTTTTGCTTGTCGTCCCCAACCCAGTACTCTCCAGATACATACAGTGTGAATACACTCCCAATATTTTAAATGCCATATGAGGATAAAGCACATGGTCTGCCAAAATGAAAAGTTTGAGAAACATATTCTCAGTATTTTGTGCATATATTTGCAAAGTTCGCTTTATACTATACCTTAACAAAAAGGTTCTAGTAACCTAAAACTTAGTGGAAACAAAAGCCCCACTGTACAGCCTCTGTATTGTGCTTTGAGTTATTATTAATGTAGATTACATGGTCGTATTATATCTGAAATGTTCTGAATCTGCTATGTGTATTTCTAAGTTTTCCGTTTACTAAAGAGAACACTTCAAAATTTTATCAACATAGTTATTTTTCATGACCAAAGATATTCGTAGGCAATTATGAAAAGCAAAAACCGAAATGCATTGGGCAATTCTTATTGGACCAAGTTGGTTTAAAAGATGAGAGTTGCTATTGTCGAGAACTTGGAATGACAGTGGCATTTCTCCCCCTCCCCCATTAATTTGGTAGGCTTTACAGCATGCCGTTGTGCATAGAGGTCTTCACTTCATAATGATGAGCTAATTCAGTTAGCTGACCTGTTGTCTTTTGAGTGAGGAATATAGTTTATCAAACTGAATATAGACATTTGATTAGGGAGGCCGAACTTAAGATCCAGTTCAATTATGGATGCAACTGTGGACTGTGACATCAATACAATCTTAATCTTGGCTCTTAAATGGGAATAGAGCTGACTTAATACAGTAAGTATCAGAACACCTCTCTCATCACAATGCCAGCAGTGGCTCTTGTGTCCTCAGTTGATCTAACAGTTGCTTCCCTTGATGTCACCAAATCAGAATCAGTCTGGGTGGGGAAATTTTTCAGACTTCCATGAAAAACACCAGGAAGTAGATAATGCATCGTATGGCAGTGAGTCTGACAATATGCATGACATGCCTTGTTACAAATAATGGAAAGTGGCATCCTCAGCAGCATCTATATATGTTTCGATTTTAAATAAATAAAGAGCATGTTGTTTTTAGCATTTTTTAAAATGCAAAATAGGACTTTTCTTCACTTACCTGAATATGTTTGAGGTTATTAATCTCCAACTTTCCACATCCCTATCTTCCCTTTTCCACACTTCCAACAAGGTAAAAAGGGATTTATGCCTATGTTTTAAAAAATCAATACAATTTTTTGCTTTCCAATATTTTATGTTATTTTATTTTGTTGAGGTATCTTGCAGAATGAAAGGTCAAATCCCCCAACACTCATGAAATTCCATGGATGATCTTGGCCTTCTCTTTCTATTTCCTCACAAAACATTGTTTTAAGATCAGAATGAAAAAGCCTCCCAAGTACATCTCAATACAGTTCTTTTTTCAATGCCTTTTATATATATGCTTTGGATAGATTAATACAGTGATAGTGGTAAAGAGAGCAAGAAAAGGCTTCATTATAAACTAGAGACATGAGGGCAGACTGCAATCAACTGCAAGCCTATTCAATCAGTGGTTTATTATTATTATGGCTGCCATAAGGTCAGCCAGATATTTAGACTGGATTTGTTATTTTCATCCATTTTTATGTTGGAATAAATAATCCTATCTTTCAGATAAAACACATAGCCATGTTTTAAGTTCCTCAAATGTTCTTTACATGGTGAAATATGTTTAATTTGAAAAGAAGAATACAACAAGAATTTGATAGCACTCTTCTAATATTTCAGAGATTATCAATTAGAAGGCAGCAAATATTTAACTCGGTTGCCATAAAAAGGTATATTTTTAGTTGCACATTAGAAACAAATTGTTCTATTAAACTAGGTAAAAATGAAACAAATGACTCAGAGGATAGGTGGTTAGAAATTGGGCAACCTAAATAGATGCTCTTGTTCTGAATATTTTGGCAATTGTACCAAAATTTCAACTTGATGCTTTACAAGTATTTGACTATTTATGGAGTATACATGTATTCTACTAGAATAATTACTATTCAGTTAGGCATCTCAACCAATCACACTAAATGCACACAATGAGTACAGATCACATTGGGAATCTTTTTCATCCTTTCCACTTTGTAACCATAACATAATAGAGAAAATATATAACATAGGAAATAGTTTGACTACAAAATCACTTGCAAATTTTTGACAAAACATTTTTTTTGTTGTTTGCCTATTATATATTATAAGTTTAAAAGTCAGAAGAAACCACATACTGACAAGTATATGTATGTGAATATTTGTAAAGCTTGGCATATGCTATACCAGGTAGGCAACCTTGGCTTTTTTATGACTCCTGGACTTCAACTCCCAGAATTCCTGAGCCAGCATGGCTCAGCTTGGAAACTCTCCCTTTCCCCTCAGCATGGCTGGCTCAGGAATTCTGGGAGTTGAAGTCCACGAGTCATAAAAGAGCCAGGGTTGCCTATCCCTGTGCTACACCAAATAAAAAGATCCCAAAACAATGTTTATATCAATTAATCCCTAGAAAATAGCCAGTTTAGTAACATACAGTAGTCTTTAAGGCAATTATACTTAGGAACTAGATTGGACATAGATCAAAGGAAAACTGTAAGCATACAGAAAGGCTATAGTCCTTCAAAGTGAACTCTCAAAATATTTTATAAGAACAATACTAACAATCACTAGGAGAGTAAAAATATGCAATTTCATGTCATTAGAAGAGTAAAATGCCTGAGAAAGTAGGCAGAACTGATGCCCGGTATTCAATAATAAGCTATTGGTTGCTCCACTTTCAATAGAAATGTTTATTTTTTCCAGGACAGAGAAGATAGACATCATGAGCATCTTAGTTACACATCATTAACCACCATTTGCTAGACTGAATTTGTAGAAATGCTATGCTTCAACTTTCAAAAATCCAAAGGCAACAAAAGCAGTGGCCCTTCATTTTTCCTAGCATGTGTCATGCCCAAAATACAGCCTAAAAACAGTGAGTCAGTCATCTAGAATGACTTTGGATTCAATGTAATGGGTGTATCTGCACCTGCTGCCTAGTCAGCTGTTATACAGCTCTCTTCTGTGTTGGGTATAGAAGAAATGCCACATGTAACACAATTGTATTTATTTCAAATACAGAAGAAACCATATTTTAAGTCAGAAAGTGGCTTGCAGAATTTGCATGACCAATGGCATGCAATTATCATATACTTTTTAAGAATATTTACTGCCAAATGGGCAGCATGCACCATATTTGTTCCTGCTTACAGCATCAATTTACGAAGTATTGTTCAATATTTGCACAAATGTCAGATCAATTGGTATAAAATGGTAACACTTAGTAGCATGACATTGATTTTTATTAATTGAGGACCTTGGACAAATCTTTGCAAAGGTAGCAAGTAATCTGTAAGATCCAGAAGAAACAATCAAAGATATAAACAAGATGAAAGACACACATATCTAACTACATTTGTAGGTTCAGTGTTTCAGAAAAAAAAATATAGAAGTCCTTGAAATGAATAATTATGTAAACACACTATTAGCTAGAAGCTATTAGTCTAAATATGGACTAATCTGTTGATAGAAGCACACATAATGATTGACTACCAGAGAAATTCATTCCAAAAAGATAGTCAATCAGTTTTCTTTTTGTTTATAGTAACCCCTTTCTTCTTAAAAAAAAAAAAAGGGGGGGGGGCCCTGCAGGGCCAGTAGGAGACTACATATTGTAGTTTCAATGCCAAAATGCCACAGGATTTCCTAAAAACTATTATTGTGGTGAAGAAATATCAGAAATAAAAATTCAGGAAGAAAATGAAGTTTACAAAAAATACAAAGGACGCCTGCTTAATATGAAGGTCCCACACCTAACAAAGCACCAGTATTAGTAATATTAAGATTTCTTCTCCGTTTGCTGATAAAAGAAGATGTGGAAATAAGGGAAAATCCAAGACCAAACAAAATCTGATATAATAGACTTAATTCAACAGAGAAAATACTCATCCTTCCATACTCTGGCATCCCCCACCTTCCTAAAAGTTATTCCCTCCCCCCACTTAAGTGTAGGTCTATGGAATAAGAGATTTAAGGATTGAGCAGTGGAAATAGCTTGAGAATAGTTGATATTCTCAAAAGCAAGTTGTTTCTAATAAAAAAGATGGAGGAAAGGAAAAGGTTGATTTATTATACTACTCTTAATTTCTGGCAGTCTTGTTCTTTACCTAAGAAACATCCAGAGATGCTAAACGCTTCCTTAAGAATTTCTCATAGCAACTTGGATGATTAGGGTGGCTCATCTCACCATCAAATGTCCCAAAGATGCTTTTTCAAGAGGCAACTGGACTTTCTTGTTTTTGTTTGAAGATGAAGCTTCTTGGGTGAGAAGCAAAATGTCTTCAAAGAAAAACAAGAAAGTCCAGTTGCCTCGTGAAAAAACACCTTTGGGACAACCATGACCTGGATGACTGAAAATCTCCACAGACATAAGCCAGCAGAAGGGTGTTGCTAATTGCGGCCAAATGGGAGTTAAAATTGAGATATGAATTAGTATACATTAGTCGACTGATAGTCAATTCCAAAAAGGAAGCATTAACAACTTCCATTACAGAGGATCTGAAGGCCATTGCTAAGTTATGAGACAAAGATTTTGAACAATATCATAAGTTATTAAAAAAAAATCCATCTGCACTCTGCATGTTTCTCAGCCAAGCTTGGGCTGTCTTAAATTCAGGTGAATGGAATTCGCTTGCATTCTCAAAAAAGTTCATATGGTGAAATGTTTTAAAATAAAATAAAATTTCAGGAAGATTTTAAAACAGATGTCAAATTCTAGAGCGCTGAAACTATTCCAACGAAAGCTACTTCTGGATGGTCAATATTTGTGTGCAATCTAGGGATAGCAAAACCAGCTCACATTGGCAAGGATTATCCTTTGTGGCTCGAAATGAACAATGAGGATTTTCTCTTATTTCAATTTGTTTAAGAAAATCCTTTCCCATATTTGCCACGCAAGTCTGAACAAGACACCTGTGTGCAAACAGTATCTTAAGTTGTAATCAATTATATTTAATGAAAGCAAAAATATGTTTAGAATATGTATACTCTGTAATACAAAATGAGAAATGTAACACACTTCTTCCTGCCTTCAAATGTAAAAGGTAAAAAAATATTGTTTTTATTTTATTTTGCTGCTCAGCTAAGTGGCAGGTTACTGTTTCTACATCTACCATATTATAGCTACAAAGCAGACATATGTTCTCCTTAAGGCACTTAGATATTCCACGTTCTGTGGTTCTAATTATTTGGTTTTTTCTATGTTCATATTCAACTCTACTGGCTTCATTTTTTAAAAAAAATGATAAAAGTCATCAGTAAAGACATATTGCCATACGTCCTAAGATAGGTGACTAATGTGAAAATGTACAGTAGCGTATGCTTATAAAAAAATCCAAATAAAGAAGAGTTTTGTTGTAACTATGAACAGTCTGTGTTTCTATGACCACTAGAGAACCAACAATTGCAGCTGGAGAGAGGCCTCCCATTTCAGTCACAAAGGGAAGCCAATATGACTGCTGAACAGTAGCAAAAATGGCAGAGGAGACATCTTTTCTGCACGGAGGCACAATGGGATGCATGTTCTTGATTTGGGAAAGGTGGGGGGACGAAGGCTTCAATGGGGTGGGGTTTCCTTACTGCTTATCAACAGCCCCTTGTTCAGCAGAACTTTCCTTATTGGTGGTCTGTGCATGCCACGGGGTTTCCTTAAAAACAAACCAGCAATTTCCAGCCCAGAGTATAAAGTTGACAAAACCAAACAGCTGAGAAAGAAAAGGAGAATGCATAGTTAATACAAAGCAGATATTAGTGAACACTGAGCACTTATATAAGGTCAGTTCAGTACTTTTTAATGCCCTCTTGTTCAGTTTTTCACAATGATTAAAGAACAGAAAAATAACAGTCTTCTGCTGGTTTACACATGTTCATGTGCAGTAGCATTACTTTCTCGTACTTATGTTTGTGAGATTCAAAGTCACAGAGGAACATAATTTTGAAATTGGCATGCTCATTACAAAATTATACTACCTTGACTGAATATTATGTATTTGTCTGCTCTTTATCCACTGGACAATCAAATCAGTAGAAGATAATGCTCAAGTAAGAGGAACTGCTAATACTCCTCAATTTCAATAATAATGATTGTATTCAGCAGAACATAAACCCCACCCAGTTTGGGGTCAGGGTATGCTTCCATGTGAGCCTTACAATAAGCAGGGAAACAGATGTCTCTTTTTCTCTGGGACAACGTTCCTCCAGGTCTTCCTGTCCTTTACCATCTTCTGGAGTCCATTTAAGCTCACGCCTACTGCTTCAGTGACTCCATCCAGCCGCCTCATTCTCTGTCGTCCCCTTCTTCTATTGCCCTCAATCTTTCCCAGCATTAGGCTCTTCTCCAGTGAGTCCTTCCTTCTCATTACGTGGTCAAAGTATTTGAGTTTCAACTTCAGGAGGTAGTAGTGAATCTTAAATCCTTCCCAAGGAATACGGTAAACATATTCGGAAGGATATTAAAAACATACCTCTTCAAAGTAACATTTTTACTGTTGTTTTTATTGGGCATGTTCATATTGATGGCTAAAGTTCTACAAGTAATTTCTATTGCCTGAGTTTTATTTTAAACACACTACTGTTTTTCAGTATTTCCTTTTAAAAGTTAAAAGACCATGTTTTAAACTGTAATATTTTAGATATATGTTCTCACATTTGTATGCTTATGCTGTTCTTTATTCTTTAATCACTGTGATTTGCCTTTCTCTTTATTAGCAGTTGCTTGTTGAGCAAATTGAAAGGGAAGTTTCTGTTTATAAACAAAACAGTGTTTGCTCACCCTCTTTCATGACATAATTTCAGAGTCACTGCAGAATAAGTCTTAATACCCTGTAGGTGGTCAGATTGGTTTTGATTTAGTGAAAGAAATGGGATGGTACCATATTGACCACAGTGCAGCTAAAGTCCTCATCCTCTCCCACCCAATCACTACAACATTACTTCCAGGCAACTCTTACCACAGAGATGTTGGCCAAACCCATAGAAGGAGTGGCCCCAGCATTGCACACTGCGTTTTTGAACTGACACACAGACATGGCTGCAATAAGGCTAGAAGGCCGTGTTGCTCCTTTCACATCTGATAGACCTTTGCCCCAAGCTGAAAATGCCACTAGCCAAAAGAAGGCAAATGAGACAGACACACAGAAGTCCTGAATGAAGGGGAAAAAGACAGAGAGAGAGAGTAAGTGAGTGAGTCATGGTTGGTATACTTCATGACAGTAGCTCCATTCTGCTACATACTTTCATCTAAAATATTCATGCCCAAATTGGGGGCAGACCATTTATTTTAATCAGGCAGCTTTTTATGTCACATTATTTGTAGGCTAACGATGTCCACTCCTCTCCATGGTAGGCAAGGTACACATGCTGCACCTAATCATAATATAGTTTGTTTGTTGCTGCCTCCGCTGTTATTGGTTTATAAACCAACTGTGGCTTATTCAACAAATCATGGATAAGCAAATCCAGGCTAAGCACCTTGCTACTGCTCCAAGGTCAAGAAACAGAGAGGGCAGGACTTCCCAACTGGATTCAGGTAGTCCTCACTTAGCAACCACAATTGGGACTGGAATCTCAGACATTGAGTGAAACAGTTGTTAAGCAAGCCATCCCATGACCTGAAGACCTGGTTTTGTCTGGGGACCAAATGGGGGAGTTCGACACTGGAAGTGACTGCTAGACTCCCACCTCCCTCCCCCTTGCTCTCTGTTTTCTACCCATCTATCTTTTTAGTTATCATATTAATGTTTTATTCTTGTTGTGTTCCACTGTCATTATTTATTTCATTGTTCTACTATTTTACATCTATTCCCTCTGCATTCCTTTCCTTTTCTCCCTTTTTATTATTGTAAGCTGCCTCGAGTAGCCCCATGGCGAGATAGGCAGCAAACACTTTAACAAATAAATAAATAAAAGGACTGCTTCATTCAACAACTTCGGTACTCCCAGTTGCAGTAATTAAGCAATCTTGTGGTTATTAAGTGGACAAAGTCCTAGTTAAGGAGCATGGGTTACCATTGTAGGCTCTGCACAAATGTGTCTCCACTCAGGAGCTGAAATCCTCCCTATTGAAATCCAAGCAGGATTTTCAGCCTCTGAGCAGAGAGATACTCATATGCAGACAGCACTGAGCCTCTACAGAATAACTTCCTAGGCCCTTTCCTTTATCTTCCTGCGGCACCCAAGCCCCTTGCCTTACGGTGCTTTCTCTCCACTCAGGACCTGAAATTTTGCTTGGATTTTGGCTCCTCTTGTCTTTGAGAGCTAGCTGAAAGACAGCTCCATGCAAGCAGGCATGAAGGATTTCAGCTCCGTGCATGCAGGCTCTTTCAGCTACCTCCCAGAGGAGAAAGGGAGTTCTTTTGGCAGGCGGCAGCATCTTGCAATCTTTCCTTCTTCTTCCCCATTGAAGATTGCAAATGGTGATCACATTATTGCATAGCACTTGGCAACTGGTTATAAATGTGAACAGGTTCCCAAGCAATCAGACTGCAATTATAGGATCCTCTGTGTGTGTGTGTGTGTGTGTGTGTGTGTGTGTGTGTGTGTGTGTGTTTGATGTTTTGCAATGAGGCCAATATTAATTTGAACCCTGGTTAAACAAAGACTGCTTGTAAATATACAAGTGGAGCCTTGTACACTTTTTCTCAGATTTCATATTCAGAAATGATCAAGTTTTTAATGGAGTGTGGGAAGAATCCAGAGAAAGAAATATTTGGGGAATATTAAAAAGGCAGAATATATTTCTGTAAAGGAATAATGGAGAGGATCTTTAAAAAAGGCAGAAACTTCTCCCTCCTCCCCCCCCAGCCAAAAAACTCACAGAAACCTGCTTTTAGAAATGCAGATGTAATAATCCATTCAGGAAGGTTGGAGCCAGGAAGCTAGAAGTTGATGAGATTAGGAAGACAAAGATCCTTAAAATCTATATACCCCACCCAAACTCTAACAGACATGACCTTTGGAGACATAATAGGATTAAGTACTCACCAGTACCAAAAGAGCGCACTCAGACTCAGATCAAAGTACATGACACAGGAAATACAAAGCCTCAAACAGGAATAGGAAACAACCTCAAGAGCCCCAGAAGGTATAAAAAACCACTACTCCCAGCAACATGTGGTCAGCTTTCCCAGAGCCACGCTTCTGTCTGGCTTTGCTCTTCAATAAACTCCAACCTTCTTTCTAAAGCCGTCTCCATTTTGTTTATTCCCAGCTTGGACTGGACCCTGATGAAGATTTTTCTTTCAACAGGAGTTTACTTTGTGTTTGTATAGAACTGGTTCTATGATGCAGATCTTGAAATCTAAAGAGCTGAAAACCAAACTTGAGATCTTACCGCAAAAGGTAGCTTCTTATTCTCTTTATAGAGGGAGTGAAATCGTAGATATACTGCAAGAGCTGCCATAGTATATAGAAAAGTAAAAACACCCAAGGTCACGAAGAATTCAGCTGGTGCAGAAAAATCTCCCATGAGATGCAGCACTCTTTTAGCAGTTGATCCTTCGATACAATCTGGCATATCAAATGGGATTTTATACAACCTGGTCAAATTGAAAATGAAAGCAAGAGAAACAGCGTAAATGTAATTTGAGTACTTAGCACAGAAGAATTAGGCTACAGGATATCTCTAACATCTAGAGATCTGCATGGGGGGAAATATATTTGTTTCATTCCCACCTTTGTTAAAATGTATTTTGCAGGTTTTAAACATTTTTCTTAGAGTCAAAAATAAAAAATCCTGAACAGCAAACTTTTAAAAAACAGCTGTCTGAAAGAAACTTCTGAACAATTATTTGGCTCCAGATTTTATGAGACTGCCTCATGTCCTATCCAATTCTGTTTATTGTACACCCATCTAGGACTTTATGATAAATCAAGCTTTCTTGCCAATAACCACACTAATAAAATGGCAGATTCTCTCAAACCCCATCACCAATTGTAATAAATGAGAATTAAAAATTAGCTAAGCTTTCTTTGAAAAAGATTTATCAGAATTAATGAGTTAAAGAGTTGTTACTTTAAAATTTTCAATTTATGTAAGGAGAAACCCTTTTGGAGTAAGCAATGTTATATAAAGTGTAAAAAAAGGTTTTTAAAAAGTCAAAAAAAAAGGTACGGATTAAGAAAAAAATACAGCTAAATCTAGTTTTTCAATGCATCTTTATAACTTTCTGTACTTGCAAACTCTCCTTGCTTCCAACACATCCATGTATCGCATCATGAATTGCCTTATTCTATTTCCATATTATTTTTTGCATTACTCTTATTGAACATGCATTTTGGAAAAATTATAAAGGAGAAGCATTTGTCTGAGATGTTTCTGTTGCAAACCATAATTTATGGGTTTGCTGTAATGGTAGTTTAACCATTGACAGTGCATGTACAGAATTTGTTGCAATGAAGATACATTTATGAGAAAAGAGGTTTTATATCCTTGGCAACCATGCCTAACATAATTCTGAATTCAAGAGACAAAAGGACCTCAAAGGATGGAGAGGGAGGAATCTATTCCACCTAAAATGTTTTTCAACCCATATACAATTCATTAAGATACTGTATTTTGTTTTGAACCGTTCCTGCCAGTACCACAACAGCCCTTCCAATTTGTTCCCCTTCTTGTCAAAGGCATTTTAAAATACTTCACAGACATGCCTCTATTTATAGCTATCAGATGTTGACAGGGAGGGAAAGATGCACACAGATATAACCATGTTAGATCCTTCATGCACTGATTTCATTCCAACTTAGATCTTGTTTCTGTTTATCCAAAAGCCTTGTGAGGGCATCTGTAATGTACAAAATTTTCATTGTGCTGATTTGTGCTCCAGAAAAATATAATCTTTTATCTGATCTGGCATACTAAAAAGAAGTTAAGGATATTATCCACACTCCAGTACTGCCTCTTGTTTTTGGCAAGGGCATGGATCACCAAGGCCGCCAAGTCTGATCACTAAGATTTAGATAAAGAACTGCTGATATTTTTTTACTGGTTTATATACCCCTCAATAAATGACAGCTGTATTGGGTCAGGGGCTACTTTTAAGTTTGTAACAAAAAAAAATTCCCTTTTCCTCTTGAAGCAAATCAGAGTTCTCAAAATGCTTTATTCTATTTCTGGCTACACAGCAGTTTCCTACACAGCTGGTAACCTGCTGTAACAAAGCTCACCTGGAAGTGAGAGGAAAGGAAAAATGGAAACAACAGTTCAGGAGTGTTGTACCATAATTATTATTGTAATTTAATTCAGATGATACAACTCTGCTACACACTCTGATTTGCCAGGGGTTAATCCACAAAGTACAGCCATGTGGATAAAGTGCATAAATTCAACTGACATCTGCTAAACTCCTCAACGAAAATTGCCCTCGGGAAGTGGTGCTCTCAAAGTTTTAGACTATATTATTTTTATCCAGCTCTCCCTCACATATCATTTGAAATACAATTTAATATATTTGAACCACGGTGGGAGGTGGGGCGGAAAGGAATCAAACTACTCCCAAAACTACAAGTGCAAGGCAGCTGGGACCTCCACCTGCCATTTCTTGGAGATGATGCCTATCTGGAAACAAGGTACCCAGCTGGAAACAGAATTCTCACCTCATCTGGTTGTCTCTAACCAAGCTATTTCAGACATGGGCCCTTTTTAAATAGAGGCATGAGTGGAGGCTGATGATAATGCTTGTCTGAATATGTCTGTAATGAGGATAAACTCCTATTGGAGATTCTGATATCTTGAGAGAAGGAAGGGTTCATTTCTAGCTGTCAGAACTGAACGGATACATCCCCAAACAAAATAACAGATGGCATACTTCTAGAAATAAGGGCCCCGAAAATAATACACTTGGGTTAACCTCTTCACTTACAAAGTTTTCTGAAGATCACAGTATTTTCTCCCACTGCAGGTCAATGCATTTTCTAATTCACTGTTAGTGTTGTATAACAAGAATTTTCTCACATGGGAATATCCCTTTTAAGCCTTGAATTTAAAACATTTGTCTCCAGAAGTGGTAGCATATGTTTGAACCTGGAAGCTAAGCAAAATTAGGCCTAATGGATACTTGGATATCCATCTTCATTAAACTAGACATATCTAATTCCAGCAGCCTTTCCTTATATGCTTTAGCCTCCAGTCCCCTAATCATCTTTGTTGCTTTTCTCTGTACTCTTTCTAGAGTCTCAACATCTTTTTTATATCGTGGTGACCAAAACTGGATGCAATATTCCAAGTGTGGCCTTATCAAGGCATTATAAAATGGTATTAACACTTCATGTGATTTTCATTCTATCCGTGTTAATGTAGCCTAGTACTGTGTTGGCTTTTTTTGGCAACTGCAGCACACTGCTGGCTCATATTTAAGTGATCGTCCACTAGGACTCCGAGATCCCTTTCACAGTTACTACTATTGAGCAAGGTACCCCCTACACTGTGCCTGTCCATTTGGTTTTTCTTGTCTAAATGTAGAACCTTACTTTTTTACTATTGAATTTCATTTTGTTAGATAGCGCCCAATGTTCAAGTCTGTCAAGATCCTCCTGTATCTTAAGCCTGTCTTCTGGAGTGTTGGCTATTCCTGCCAGATTGCTGTCATCTGCAAATTTGATGAGTTCCCCATCTATCCCCTTGTCCAAATCGTTGAAGAGCACTGGGCCCAGGACAGAGTCCTGGGGCATCCCACTACACAGTTCCCTCCATGTAGATGTGGTTCCATTGAAGACCACATGCTGAGTACGGCCGGTCAGCCAGCTATGAATCCATCTGGTGATGATGCTGTCTAACCCACATTTTTCTATCTTATCAAGTAGTAGGTTGTGGTGTACTTTATCAAATGCCCTACTGAAGTCCAAATAAATTATATCCACAGCATTCCTTTGGTCCACTAGTTTTGTCACCATAAAGGACTACCAGAGCTTCCCAGGGCTATAGGCTAGACTGGAAAATTAAAATAAAACAACATTTTATTTTAATAAATTAAAATAAAAGAAATTAGAAAGTTACCAATTGCAAAATTCTTCTATTATTGTTGCTAAGAAAACTACATGGTCACAGCCATGTAATAAATGAATCATTTTAATAAGTATGAAGCCACCAGAACAAGTTTGATTTGAAGATAGACTTAATCTTTATAGTATACATGGTTGGGAATAGATTTATTATTTGCTTTCTCCCATGCATCCCATTGTGAAATCAAAGAACAAAAATATCTTCTTAACTATAACTTCTGTTCAACAGTCCACAAGGCTTACATAGCTTTATGTAGGCTAAGGAATCAGAAAGGCTAATTCCTTTGTCCAAATTATTGTTTTTAGGAAAGAATTTGCCTTTGAATTTACAAAAAATAATATCCAATATATGGAATGTAGCTTATTTATAGTATACAAATCACTGAATCTCTTTTTCAATCATCAAAGATCCAATAGCCACTTGGCTGACCACTGTGTCTAAACAATGGATCAGAAGTGGTTTCTATTGTGGCATGCATACCCTAGTTTCTTAGATGAATTATATTTTTCTGCACGAACAGTCTCCAAATCTCTGAACAAGTGAAAAAAAGAAAAGAGATTCAGAGCTCTATAAAATCTGCTCTGTGCAATCAAGGTACAATTGGCCTTGGTTCCTGAGTAGTAATACTCTATGCTACATGACAAGTCACTTTAAAAAGAAAAAAAGAATTCTAGAAGTGATCTGAGAAATTAGAGGCATTTAAAAAAACAAACTCAAAAGGGAAAAAAAATTAGCATACCCAAGCTAAAATGCTTAAGTGAGTTTTCCGGATGTAACACCCTGCAGAGCAGTTTCCAGTCATCCTTGTAGTAATGATACAATTCTTTCACTGCTTAATTCGATTTATTTTGAATCAGTAGTTAAGAGATTTAAGGCAATTCCAGAGGAATAGCTTGAAAAATAGCCTGCAATATTGAGCAATTATAGTTAAAGAATTACTTCTCATGGAAAAGGTTTTAAGGACCTCTTCATTAAAAAAAAACCCTAAGAAATATAACCATTTTCCCTTTATCAGAGGCTATTACCAACAGTGTTTAATTTCACATTATATCTTCCATATCTGTACTCAGTCAGCTTTTCATTTACCTGAAAGGATATCCAAACTGCACAGTAATAGCAGTTGTCTCCTTAGGGGGCTTGGTGCATTTCACGGTAGCCCCTGTTTCTGCACTGAAAGAACCACAGGCTCCAAAGGCAAAAATGGCAAAGAGCTGAAGAAAAAGGGGAGAGGAATTTAAGATTAAATCTGTTAACAATCAATAGGAAAAAAAAACCCTCTCTAAACAAGACAACATATTTACCAACTCCTGTGAACAATCCCAAGACCGCAGAAATTGCAGACAACTACCAAGGTTTAAAATGCCCCCAAAGTGTTTTAACAAAACCACATCAATCAGCAATGCACCTCAATCATTGAAGAAACAATTTGCAAGCAATACACAAATCTGATCATTTTTTTAAAAAGCTGCATATTTTCCTGGATACATTAAAAAAATCATGAAAGAAAGAAAAGAAATAGCTTGCTGGAAGCCAACATTGCAGAAAAATATCCAGGTTTATACTCAACTTCTATCAGAGAATAAACTTCAATTTTTTTTAAAAAAAAAAAGCAAGATGCCTTGCTGTTTTTCCGGATAATAAGCAATATTAGAATCCTTAAATATAACTAATAGCTTTAAAAAATGCATCTTTTAGAAAAGTAACTGAAATAATTCCATCAGCTTCAATAGAAAGCTAAATGGTTGGCTAAAGTCTGACCCTAAATATGGGACAAACAGCAATTATGCCACATAAATAATATTTTGTTTCAATATCAATTGCCCGGAGCTACATAAAACCAATCCCCACCCAAAAAGTGAAATCCACAGTATAAGAATGTGCTTGAAGCTGATAGACTTATTCATATTTAACACATCATTCCATTCAGAGATATGCAGGACATCAGCAAAGTTCAGCAAAAGAAAAAGTCAAGACTAATAGTATATAAAAGCAGATGCTAGTTTTAGAAGAAACCAAAATTAAATTTGTCTGCTCTTGCTATGTATAGACTTCACTTATGATCATATCAGCATCGCCTAGCTTATCTCCCTTTGCATAGGCAAGAGAAAATATGAAGTTTCAACTAAGGAAAATTGTCGGTTTTGACTTGAACCATACATAATGAAGCACTGAATATCAAGAAAAGCTAAATTAAGAGGATTTTTCAAGCCCCATGGTAGAGCAGATAAAAGTGAACGAGGGGGAAAAAATGCCAGTTGAACAAAAAACTGTTTCATTCACACATTATGCTCAACTCTCTCACACATATGCACATATACCAACATCGGTCATGCAAAGAACTGATAAGACATCCTTGGTAAGTTCAATTTTGTAACAACACAGCTATGGCAAAAGAGTCTAAATCAGACATTGGTCGCTGGTTTGGAAGACCCCTAGGATGAGACTAACATCCGCCCAAAACAGAACTAACCAAAATTCAACTATTCAGTTATTATAACGAATGTTTCACTGTACCCCCTAGGGCAGGGGTGGGCAACCTTGGCTCTTTTATGACTCGTGGACTTCAATTCCCAGAATGCCTGAGCATAGCTGGCTCAGGAATTCTGGGAGTTGAGGTCCACGAGTCATAAAAGAGCCAAGGTTGCCTACCCCTGCCCTAGGGGTTTCCATAAGCTCAGCTAGGAAAATTGATGAAAGCTAGCAGATGTGCTGCTTAAATACCATTATGACTGAAGAACTTCAGAATTAGTTGTGTCTATATAAATGCAGGGAAAAGTGAGTGATACAAGAAAGATGGTAAAAGAAAGGAGTAAAAGAAAGGCTTTGTCATGATGTTTAGCAATTAGATGGAACTAAAAGTAACAGCTGGAACAAAATCATAATATAAACAGCTCAGAAAAAAGCTACTGTATTCTACAACAACAGAACTTTTATATCTCCCAGGCTCTCATTTGTTCCTGTCCTAATAAACCAGCTACAGATAGTCCTCGACTTACAGCCACAATTGAACCCAAAATGTTTGTTGCTAAGTGAAGCAGTTGTTAAGTGAGTTTTGGTCGTGTTATGACTTTTCTTGTCACGGGGTTAAGTGAATCATTGCAGTTGTTAAGTTAGTAACACAGTAAGCGCATCTGGCTTCCCCATTGACTTTGCTTGGCAGGAGGTTGCAAAAGGTGATCCCGGGACACTGCAACCATTCTAAATACGAGTCATTTGCCAAGCGTCTGAATTCTGACCACGTGACCCTGGGGATGCTGCAATGGTGGCGAGAGTGAAAAACAGTCAGCAGTCACTTTTCCCAGTACTGTTGCAACTTCAAATGGTCACTAAACAAATTGTTGTAAGTTGAGGACTACCTGTGTCTTGATTTAATAAAACTTATCCAGAAATGTTTACTGGCAGCCAATACCGACTTTGCTTTCATAAGCTTCAGCACTACATGAAATCTATAGTTAGTATCTGCAATTCCAGATTTCGCCTAACAGCTAATGATGGCACTGGGGTTCTTAACACTACTTGTGCACCGGGGGAAAAATCAAGCTCCAGCTCTGAGCAGTAATGAGTTGCCCTAAAGCAGTGGTTCTCAACCTGTGGGTTGGGACCCCATTTGGGGTCGAATGACTATTTCACGGGGGTCGCCAAACAATACAGTCCACCATTTCCCCCCCTTTTCCTTAGCTGTGCTACTTCCTTTTATTCTATTGCAGTGGTTCTCAACCTTTTTAATGCCGGTCGTAAGTCAAGGACTACTCAACTGGTCGTAAGTCAAGGACTACTCAACTGGTCGTAAGTCAAGGACTACTCAACTGGTGCAGCACCGTTTGCAGAATGGGACTTTTGGCGGGCTCAGCAGGGCAAAGACAGCCTGGACAATTTCTATTGGCTTTTGAAAGCCAATAGAATTAGACTCTATTCAAGAGAGTCTATTCTATTGGCTTTCAAAAGCCAATAGAACAGCGGTTCTCAACCTATGGGTCGCGACCCCATTTGGGGTCGATCGACCATTTTTCGGGGGTCGCCAAAGGCTGCGACCTGCCATTTTCTCCCCTCAGGGGGCGCCGTCGCGCATGCACACCGCACATGGGGGCCGCGCATGCGCAGAACGTTTGTGCTGCACCGGTTGAGTAGTCCTCAACTTACGACCAGTTGAGTAGTCCTCAACTTACGACCGGTTGGGGGTCGTGGCATTAAAAAGGTTGAGAACCACTGCCCTAAAGCAACTGTTGAAGTGCTGACTTCTATGAATTTAGAGCCAGCTCTATATTTTCTATCTGTATAGACCAGTGATGGCGAACCTTTTAGAGACCGAGTGCCCAAAAACCGCCTTGCCCCCCACCTGCAGGGCCACCCCCGCCTCCACGACCCACTACAGCAGATCGCCCAGACGGTCCAGCAGCGCCATGTGGCCACGCCCTCCATCTGCGCCTGCAGCATCATCTGCATGTGATGAGGCTTGAGGGCAGAGTCTTGTCCCCACTGCCCAGCTGCCATGTCCTTGGCTGTGCTGCTCCACGCGGACCGCACCCAGGGCCGACTCTCCTCTGCGGGGCTGCTGGTGAAGAGAGGGCCGTGAGAGGAGGTGGGTCTGGGGCAATGGTGTGTGTGCCCACAGAGAGGGCTCTGAGTGTCCCCTCTGGCACGCGTGCCATAGGTTCACCACCACTGGTATAGACAAAAGAGACTAGACTGGAAAAGTACCACACTGATACCAGGATTCTCAAGTATTTTATTAGATGTGAAAGATATAATTGAGAATAAGCTTCTGTGTAGAAAAGGAAATGCCGTACTCAGAAAATAACAGGTAATCCTCGACTTACAACAGCTTGTTTAGTGAACGTTCAAAGTTACAACAGAACTGAAAAAATGTGACTTATGACCATTTTTCAGAGTTGCAACCTTTGTAGCATCCCCCAGAGTCATGTGATGCTTGGCCACTGGTTCCTATTTATGGCCTTTGGTATGTCCCAAGATCATGGGATTCCCCTTTTACAACCTTCCAACAAGCAAAGTCATGGAGATGCTCGCTTCACTTAACAACCAGGTTACTAACTTATCAACTGCAGTCATTCACTTAATAACTGTGGCAAGAAAAGTCGTTAAATGGGGCAAAACTCACTTAACAAACGTCTCACTTAACAGAAATTTTGGGCTCAATTGCGCTCATAAGTCGAGGTACTATCTGTACCACTGCAGGTAGTCTGTGCAGCCATATATTATGAAAAATATCTCTGTGTACTCAAAGCAAGAAAACATGAAAAATCTGGGTTTTTCTCTTCAGTAGTTAACACTTACCCCGTAGTTAAGACATTATCATTGAATAAAATGAACAGATCTGGTAGGACAAAGGAATCCTTTCAAGACACAGTCACTATGTGGCCAGTTTCCTATGACTTTTACTAAGGAGATTTATCATTAGAACTTTCTTGCTTTTTGAAACATATGCTAATTTTAGCCTACGCTCTAAAATGGAAACGTCTTGAGATGATTGATATAACTGCCGTATATATCAAAGCTAAAAAGTGGAAAGAGATCTGAATATGCTTAATGAATCTAAAGGTCTTGTCAGGCAGCAACACAGCATAATAAAAAATACAAAGTGTCAATTGTAGACTGTGAAAGAACCCTATGCACACATTTGAAACAATGAAAGAAGACACAACTACTGATATTGCATATCTAAGAAGAGTAATGTCTTCTTGTGCCATTCACCATTAGAGCTACATTATTCTTACGATCCAGGGCTTTAACCAGTCATTCAATGCACAAAATTGCCATGATCAGGATCTTCATATAGCAATGCAAATATTGCTGTCCTCAAGCCATGCATCATGCAAAGACAAGTCCTTGCGGTTACTAGGGGACCCACTTGCATTATCTTTAAAGTACTTAAGATGTGTTTTCACAGAAGTTTAAACTCATCCAAATCTGCTGCACACTTAAATATAATGCTGTTAGCTCAGGTTTTTTTTCCTTACCAATCAGTTCTTCCCGGATTCTTTTCAGAGTCTGAACAAGTATTGAACGTGCTTTGTGCAATTACACAAATTGGAATCATTAACCATATGGTTTTGACAAAATGTATTCTTCACGTTTAAGTAGCACCACTATTGTCTAAAGATAGAACAAATGGCAGTAGAGCATAACAGTGCTATATATGAATGTTTATAATATAAAACAGGATTATTATTATTTTTTTAAAAAAGGAAGTGGGTTTTCTTTTTCTTTTTTTAAGAAATAGAGAGTTGATTTGGGTCCTTTAAGGCTTATTCGGTTTTTCCCCCCTAACTTTTGCTTTAAAATGGGTAGAAATCTGAAAATGTTCCTAGTGATCAAATTGAAATGCTCCTCTCCCGTGGAAACAGACACACAAAAATACAGCCCTGGAGTGAAGTCTCCTAGCGCTGGGTCTGTGCTGTGGACTAAATAAATCCAGAGTTTCTAATCTCCTCTTGGGAATGCTGAGAAGAGAGAGAATTTGTGAGCTCAGGGACAAGTTAAGGCGTGGTATGTGCAGAATCAGAGCTCCAAAAAGGTTAAGCCCGCCTGAGTGAAATGTGAGCGCAGCTCTCCACTGTTCCCATACATACCCCAGTCCATAAGTCCAGACTCCTTGCACATAGAAGGTCTGCCGGAGAAGGCACTCTCTCCAGCAAAACCGGCTCCTGCACACAGCCCAGGTCCAATTTCCCAGCCTCGTGTGCCCCTTCCCTTGATGAAACTTCACCAAGGCAACAGTTTTAGCGCATTATCATTCTTCCTTCCAGTTTCAGGACGAGGGGGGGGGGGAGGGAGGCAAAAGCGGAAAAGTTGCACACGAAAGAGCAAACTTACCCACTCCAGCACCTTAATGAATCCCAGGGGCTCCTCCAGGCGGCCCCAACGTATCCCCCCAAACAGCTGGGCCTGGCAAGGAAAGCAAAAAAGAGGAGAGGGGGGGAAACAAGGGCAGGGATTTCAGATCAGCCAGGAGGGAAAGCAAAGGGGGGGGAGACTTAGGAAAGGGCGTCAGAAAGTGAGGGACAGTCAGAGAGAGAGGGAGAGAAAGAAAGAAAGAAAGAACAATGCGGGAGAGGCGGGGAGAAAACGGCAAGCAAAGGAGCCCTACCACCAGGTTGGAAGACTCCTTGTCCGCCGCCGTTGTCTGGGCTCTGGATTCCGACATGCTCTGAGAAGAGCTGGTCGCCGGGTCGAGATCGGCTTCCTTGCCTCTCTGGCGAGTGGGCGGGGGAGTGATCCAGGCGAGAGTAGCCCCGGCTGGAGTTGGCGGCGTGAGCGGCGGCTGTTCCCTCCTCCACGGACCTGAGGCGAAAAAAAGCCCCGTCGGAACTCCTGTCAAACTTGCAAGAGAGAGGAAGCGCGTTACGCCACAGCAGGCGGCCGGGCTCGCCTCCTGCGCGCGCTGGGCTCCCGGCTGAAGCCGCTGAGGGCGGTGCTCCTGCCGGCGGCCCCGCCTTCGTTCGAAGGGGCGGACGGCCGAGGCGCTTGGCGGCTTCTCGCTCTCCGCGGCAGAAGGCAGGTCGCACCTCGCTCTCTCTGCAGCGGCGGGTAAGGATGTAAGTAATGGGACCGCGGTAGTTGCTTGCGGAGGGAACGTCTGTTTCGAGCATTTTAGTGCTGGGAGGCGCAGAGCTCGGCCAATGCACTAAGAGATGGGGGGGGAGGAAGGGCGTCGTTTTCTTTCTTTTAATGTAAGCAAATGCATATCAAGTTTGAAGGGATGCGGGCTTCTAAGCGAGCATTTTGCAGATTTCGACGCTGTTTGTAAAATTAACCGTTGCAAATACAGATGGGTTGATGGGAAGAGGCCTTTCTTCCATTTGATATAAAATGGGACTGCTCGTGCTGTCTGCCAGGTGTTGCAGATTTAATTTTATTATAGTCTTGTGTCCCCCAGAAACGGGGAGATCCAGTTGTAAATGTTTGAGCTTGGATGAATTTCATTGTCTTGCTAAGGTCTCTAGCAGCATAAATGTACAATTCTAATTTTTTCCACACATAGGAAGACAATTATTTCCCATTCTTAAATTGTTCCTGTCAAACTTAGGCATATCATTTACATAAGGATCATTTATAGTTAGATCCTGCTTCAAATAGCTTATTACTTAATATCTAAATATTTTTTTCCTATTTCAATCCCTTAATTAATTTGTGTGTGCTCTCCACAATGCAGAGGCATTTTGTCCTGTGAATTATTTCTCTTGGAAATTCAGCTAGTGGCTGAAGTGTTTACTGTAGTCTATTAAGTGTTATTGACTCCTTTCCTATTTTAGCATTTTATACTGTTCCTTCCTCTCAAATTTGGCATGATGAACAGTATAAAATGTTTTAAATAAATTTGGACTGTTTTCACACTTAATAATTCATAAAAGTTTTATTCTTACATGTTTCCATCATTTCCATCACATAAAGTCACTGAGAGTACAATCCAATGCTGAATACTTGAAAAGCTTCTGTTGGGTCCAGTAGTAGGCCTTATTCCCAAGTATTTTGCATTGGATTGCAGTCCCAGTTTCTGTTGTAGAAAGAGAAACATGAGCAATACAGGAAGTCCTAGTTTAGTGACTGCCTTGTTTAGTGACTGCAGTTATGGTAATGAAAAAGTAGCTTTATAACCAATCCTCGCATTTACAACTTTTGCAGTTCTGTAAAGCAAAGGAAAGGGTTAGGTTAGGTAAGATCATTTTTATTTTCTTTTAGTGGCTGCTTTGCTTAATGACCAAGTTGCCAGTCACAATTGTATTGGTAGTTGCTAAACAAGAACTACTTGTATGCTGAAACTGTAGGGCATGTTTGGAGAGAACATGCTTTATGAAAAGTGCTCCCTTTGATTGCAAGGCATCTCATGGTTCATCAATAGAATTTCACTTTGAGAACAGTAAAGGCATGTGAGAGGCTGGAGCTTGGTGCCCCCATATCTTATATCTGTTATGATATACAGTATGTAAAACTAAAGCAAATCAGGAGAAGTGAACATAAAGGAAACCATTAGATCTTTACAGGACATGATTTAGTCTGCAGTAGAGCTCTCTAAACACAGTCTCAAACTCTGAGCACTCTTTCAGGACATTATAATACAGATTCATTCTGACTACGCAAAACAATTTATGAAGGCAAATATCTGCAAAGGAATTATGTTTGATGTTTAGATAATGATAGTGATGTCTTGGTAATTGATAAAACTTACTTTTCATTCAGTTGAGGTAATATTATTAATGTGGATATTACACTTTCTTAACCCCCAAATCCTGTTGAAGTTAATAGCAATATCACTTTTCTTGCTCCAGATCCAGAGCTGATGTAAATGGTGCTTTAGAAGAATACAGGATAAGCATGCTTTTTCCCTTTGTTGTCCCCACTCCCATCCTATCCACAGTTCCCTCACTTTGTAACCCTTTTACTGACAGTGAAATGTTTTTCTGGCATATCAGAGATATTCTGTGGGTTCAATAATAATTTATTATTGGTGGTGTTTCTACCCAATCTACATAGTTTTTCAGCTAGCTGTTGAGCATAAGACTGCATCAGACTATCTTTTGGCAATTAACTTCATAATATCATGAAATTCAACTTAACAAAGATTTAAAAACTGTCCCCCAAAACAAAATAATTTCCTAAAGATCAGTAGTGGCTCTATATTATAATCTTCCATCAAGGAGATGCTTTCCATTAGGAATGCCTTTGTTAAAGTTAGTCCACAGGAAATTAATATTCAAAGGATAATCCTGTCTCAATAAGCAGATAAATTCAGAGCTCATAAAATACTGGACTTTGTCCATTCAGGCTTTAAGCATTAAAACTAGAAACATGCATTATGTCTGGAACCTTATTTTTAGCTCGTAATATTTACTCATGTTATATGCTAAGAATGTCCTATGCCAGTTAAAAGTCACTTGCTATGTTTTAAGCCAGATAAGTTTCCTAACACTTTACAGACCTGATATACAATGATATATTTGTGCAATTGTTAAGTTCATAAACATGTAATTTAGAAGAAATATTTCCTTTTATTAAAAAAAAGTCTTCATATTTTCTTTAATTTTGTGCTTAATGTAGTGTACGAGCAAAGCTGATGTAGAGTTCTTGGTCCTCTCAGAGCTAGGTGATTTGCTTGCATGTGATTCATTACCCAACTGCTTGCACTGATGATGTTATCTAATTGGGTAATGAAACGTCTTCAAACAAACAGCCAAGTTCTGAGAGCACCAAGAACCCCACAGTTCAATCCTGAGCTATACATATTTTTTCTATTAAAGCCATTAAAACTATTAAAGCCAATATTAAGCTCTACTAAGTTGTGATTGGCTATTATTTTTATTTTTCCAGATCTCTCGAAGCTGACTAGTAGTATACTTTATTGGCTCTTTTATCTTCTCATCTGCTATTTTAAATTATTTATTTTACAGTACTGATGCTAGTATTTTATTCTGATCCTCAAAAGTTATTGTCAGCTATTCTGGGAATGTACTCCAGGAGTGAAATATAAATGCTCTAATTACAATACACAAAATAGCATGTAGGCCCCATATTATAGGTGTTATGTTCACACATATTAATCACAGCTGTTAAACTACAATATAAATTGTATGGGATTAAAATATTAAGATGAATAGGAATTAGTTCTACCCATTTTCACATCTGGAAGGATACCTGTATGCTTTCTCTAGTTATCCATGTATTCAGCACCGTACAATGCTGAGTGCAGTTTCAGAAATCATACATATGGTCCTCATTTCTAGAAGTCCGTATTCAGTTGGGGGATTTAGAGACATACAAGTCTATTCCTTATGTAGTTCCTTAGCCAAGAAAGGTATCAGTACTTCTGTGATAGTTCTTCTTTGCTTGAATTTTTTTGTTTAGCTTTTAATTGCCATACAGATGGATAAGAGACTCTGAAGTACTGCTATTTTCTATCCCAGGTGATAGAATGATGGTATTAATGTGATACAATTTTCTAGGTAAAATAATTTAAATGAAAGTAGATTAGATAAGTATATAGGTTTCCAATGTGGATTTGATCTACTGTTCAGCTGATGCAATATTAAGAAAAGCATCTTTTTCCGGCAAGTCCCATAAGTATTAATAGTTCATGTTTATTTTATCTAAAAACTATTTTTTGATAATAAATTGATATTTACAAAGTATTTGGGGAGAATAAAATTGCATTTTAGTACAAAAGTTAAATTATAATGTCTAGATATGCAAGTATAAATTCCAAGCAATTCCCATAATATCTTTGCAAATTTTGTCACAGTATTTTTTTGAATTAAAAGAAAAAAAATGTATTTAACTGTCAGACCAAAATATTAGCTGAAGAAGAAAACAGTGTCTAGAATACTTTTTAAAAGTCCATATTTTAGCAACATTATTCATCTTTGTAGAGGTTGGCAGAGTTTGCAAAATATACCACAATTCAGCAATTTTCAAAAAAATACAGGCAAATAAAATTACTAGTTCTGTTTTGTCATTTATTAGGATACTCACCAGGCCTGTTTCCAAAAGATGTTATTTCTTCCATATTGCCAGCTCATGTCATCCTTTAAAAGAATAGCAGCTTCAAAGCAGAATTTGTTTGCCAAGTTTATCTTGATCACTTTCAGAGATTCCTTGTAGCAACAATTATGGATTGTCCTCCATATTTTTAAGAATCCCACTTTTCAAAGTTGTGCTAATAAAAAATAAGGTGTTCAGTCTGTGATTATTTCATGTTACTGTTTAAAATATATTTCACCCAAGCTTTATTCATTTATTAATAAGAATTAATAAGTATTCGTTAATAAAATCTCAGAAAGTTGTGATATTTTATCTTTTTAAGTTAAACGATATTAGAAATAAAAAAAGCAGTTTGAACATTTGCAAAGATGAGGTTGAATTTAGTCATTGCTGTAACTTGCTTTAACTAAGAGTGTAAACAGGAAGTTGCTATTCATTTCCCAGGGAACCTTTGAAGATAAGATGTGTACTACTACTAATAAACAAAGCAGGTTTCTCATCACATACTGATGTACATGAAAATATATCTTATGTAGCAACACTTTTACTCTTTAAATTAGATGCTTTGAAAAATTACATAAACTAATTCTCTAAATAGGATTTATAGTAATCCTGTTAGCAATATAATACCTTATAAACAGCACACCGTACAGGGGAAGTTGTGTGATTCCCCACACATGTATCAGATTTGTCTCAGTGCAGATATTAATTCTCTCGAGCAGGTGTGTCCAACCATGGCCTACAGGCTGCATGCAGACTCTGGATAGCTAGCAATGCTGTCCCACAAGATCATAAACTTTTAACATTATGTGATTTAGGTACAGTAATTACATTATGTATTTTATTTGCACCCCAAGACAATTCCTCTTCACTCAATGTGGTCCAGACAAGCCAAAAGGTTGGACACCCATGCTCTATAGCTTTTCCTGAATTTTCATGTGCAGATTTAACCTTACACATACTTATCCTGACTCAATGGGCCTTGTTTAGTAATAGACGGATATAAGTTAATATTTCAGACATTAATAAAAATTTATTAACAACTTTCCATTAAATATGGAGCTGATTGTGATATACACAGTGTCAAACCATGTTTATCAAAGGAGAATTGTTTGATAAGTTATAGTTAGGTAAAAGTAATTACATAGTCAA